TGCAGTCACAACATTCCTTCATTGGTGTTTTCTAATCTGACTGTCAGATACATAAGCCAGCACCTTCCTCTTCATTAACTGAGTAAAGATCACACAATACACAATTTTCATGTTGTCAGTCATCTTGTTCATCCTCCTTTGACCTCTGCAACACACAGCCTCTGCATCTCATGATTCGCCTCATTATTATTGACATATAAAATCAACCAATCCATCCAGAATCAAGTTTCTTACATGTTGCAAACATAACCATATCCAGCCACCAGACTCAAGCTTTGATTTTTTTTGCATTTGGCTTTAATAGCTCTTTTAATGTACAGCTGTTTTAACTAAATAATGATACACAATTTCTATTGCACCATTAATTAAAATGTTGAATGCAACTATTTCATACATCCTATGGACTCTTGGTCGGTCTACACTGAGTGGAGGGCTATATAACAGATCTACTGGAAACTCTACTTATTATCCAGAATAGCCAGCGAATTGTTGTTCAGTTGGAGAATACATCATCAGGACATACAGTAGGTGTTCATTCAGTGTTTACAAACTTAAAAGTGTTTGTTTGGCAGTTTGTATTACCCCATAAATTAATATAACACTGCAAACAGGTTTTCTTCCATGTGTATATATGTTGGTACTTGAAACAGTTCTATCCAATGTTCAGCTAAGACATCGGTATGGTCCAATTTGATTGTACTCCATTAAAAAAACATATTTTGCTTTCTCCCATGCAATAATCCTATTTGCCCAACTCCTACTGGCGTAACATTCTGAAATAATATTTTGTGTGGCATTTTATCAAGAACTTGTAAAAACTAAATATACTAAATCCACACCCTTGCCTTCATTCAAATGAAACAGACTTTTGGATGGAGTTGAACCCGAGACTCTGCTGTTCAGACAATTGCTTTAGTTCACTAGTATATAATTTATTGTGCCTCGAACTCCCCTCAAGCAACCATTTGCCCTCTTGTTCTATACCAGGTTTCTGTCCTATCTTTTGTTATTTTTTGATAGATATAAAACTCCTGTCAACTTGTTTGCCCGACATTGTTCTCTGAGGATTTTTTCAATGTTATTAAAGCTGCTAATATACATTTCATTTGGTGTTTTGTTGCCTTTGCGCTTTCAATTTACACTCTCATCTAGTGGCAGAAAGGGATTTGAGAGTGATGTTGACAAAGGACTTCAAAATAGTCAATCTGATAGTTAATGTCCCCAAAATAGTATAGATTCTTTGACTAAAACACAAAATGTTTTTGACTAGTTGCAATCATTTGCGGCATCACACAATACAAAGTTGAAAACTAACAACCACAAGGAACCAATAAATGTTATTTTGCTTAATTGTTGATTTTTCCTATTTGCACTATTATCATATCCGTGACCTTGGCTATCTTTAAATGGTATTCCATGTTTCGTAAACTCTTCAAGATTGAATTCTAATAAAGCAGAGCTTATGCCTCTTTGAAATTAATGAAGAAAATATAACTTTCTTTAAGACTTACATCCATTTCTTGAATATCTACCATTCTTAAAACTGCTGACAGCTGCTTCTTATTGCTTATATAAGGGTACAGTTCATTATTATAGAATATCAGTTACCCAGACAGCACAAAAATGCATTCTGCACTTTGGAGCAGTGGTTGTGCTATAAGAGTGATGACCAAATCCATACATTTTGTCAGACAAGACTAGCCCAAGAGTTGAGGGTGGGTGCTATTGTTTATGAATAGTTTATTTTCTCAAAATTATGGGCGACTATACACGAATATGGAAACAAGTAAACAAATTTTCGTTTATTTAATTTTTATAACATATGCATTAATGGCTTCAGTATTCAGGGATTCAGTATTTAATACTTGCTTCACTGAACATGAACCAACAATTATTCTCATTCATAATGGAATCAAACCATTTCATCAATTCCGCTTCAGGTAAAGAATTTACAGGATGATTAAACCTATCAATAGCTCCCTAAAATGCTTAATTTCTCTCTGCCAATAGCCAGGAGTCGTGGATGTCGTGGGTGCTCTAAAAAAGTAATAGTCTAATCTCACTATTAGATCAGACAAGAGTAACCCAAGAGTTGCCTTTTTTAGTCTATAAATTCAAAATTAAGAACGACTATGCAAATATAGCCCTTGGTAGCTTTGCATGAAAATTCTGAAACATACACACAAATACGCAAGCAAACATTTTGCCAAATGCATAGTTGTTATAATTACTTTATTAAATTTGCCTGTTAAATGCTGCAATTAAATTGCAATTAAAGTTTGAAATTTGTAGAACATTTGCATTAATGGCTTCCATACTCTGATAATTAGATAATGAATACTTGCTTCATTGATTATGAATTCATTTTGAACTAGAGTTATAACTATTTCTACATCATAAGGCATTATATACATAAAGTACTTTTCTAGCGATATTCTATGACTTGATATTATACTGACAGGAACAAAAATCTTCGTTAATAAGCAGTATTTTATTTTAGCAAAACAGTTTACAAGAAAAACAAAATATGTGGTACTTATCCATACTTTTCATTTTCTGATAGTTGCCTTCTACGTCGATTTTTTTTAGATGGTAATATAACGCCTTTAAATTGTACAGGTCTATATGTTACTGACGTAACTCTTATTCAATCATCAGTATTTTATATTCTTAAACCAATATTCATAATATCGAGATTTGGTGCCTTGTTTATATCTTTGTTAACTGTTTCTTCTAAATGTGGAAAATATTTTTCTGCTAATTTGATATCCTTTACTTTGTACTCTCATCTATATTTCAATACATTACCAACAGTTGCTTCTACCAATGAACTAGGAATAAAGCAATTATGAAGCCTTCCTTTGAGCCATTTTCTGGGCTTCCTATGATTGCGTTTTCTCTTTTCTTTCCGCCAAATCAGACTTAAGTTTTCTTACCTTTCAGTGATTTTGTAAATAAATATTAATTATAATTATTGATTACTTTAATATTGGTTTTATTTCTCTATTTAAATTATTTCTCTGAGTTCTTCGCTAGCTTAATTCTATTATTGAATTATTAGCTTTTTTATTTCTGAATCACTTGCCGATTGTTCTGTGCACTATTTGTTTGTAATATTTCACATATTGGGGAACATTACAGTACGTGTTCTTTCGAAATTATTCTTGAATGCTATAATTTGCTTCTTGTGTGACATAAGTGACTCATGTCTACAATAATCGTTGCAAGCATTGAAGCTGTATAGTATAAATCTATGGTGGTTCTACACTTGACTTTATAGATCTAAAAGTGTTTGCGAGATGGTCTATGGTATTTTCTGGTTTAGTGATTTCCCTTCGAGTAGTTAGGTGGGAACTTTCGAATAACAGTGGATTCAGCAGAAGCTGTTTGGCGTAACACAACTCTGAATTTTCTAACCTCGACTTAATGCAAAGGAAAAAAGTGACTAGACACAATGTACGACACATTTGAACACTTATGATTTCAGCCAAACAACAATCAAAGTTAAAGGCAAAAGTATTATGTGGTGCCTTTACTGGAAGCTTCTTTAAACCAAGTATATCTATTAAAGTCTGTATATATATTTCTGTTAAAATCATCATTTTTCAGGCTAAGAAAATATGGCATTATGTACTAATAAAAGCATTGTCATTCTTCTCGGGACACAGGGGCTACCCATTTAATTGACACTCACTTCAAAATAAGGGATGCTATATTTTGGTGGCATCATCCTACTTACCAGTAGAAAATACCACTGTCTATTTCTATAGAGAATGCTCTATGTTATTATGTTATCACAATTTTTTCCATGAGAAAGTATATGTGACACTCTAGCTGAATGACCTAGTTCCGTGAGTATCTAGGGCAAGAGAAACTTATGGGTTCCATTGACTGACATTCTATATTAATAACACGTACACAATATCTTGAGAAATCTCAGAACATTTTATATAAGGTGGTAAGAAACACATGATATGTTTGCATACCACTGGTCTCAGTACATGTGGAAATACTATCTACAAATCGTTTCTGATACTGGATAAAGCAATATTTTCTGCGATAATTTTATTTTTTGTAACCAATGCGGTTAATGACGTTGTTCATGTTTGAGATTTTTTGTCAACCAGTAAATTGGAATAAAAGTAAGGTACACCAGAGTGAGTATTATTTAAAATTTCTGTTAAATCGTTAGATGTGGGTTTTCCCAGTAGATCAAGATGTTTGGGTGGGGGCTCAAGTTAAAACGTTTGGGAACGTCTACTCTAACTTTGAACTTTCTCGTCGGTGCTTGTTTTTTGATAACTTGATTATATTTAGAATAATCGAAATTTAAACTTAACATAAGCCTTTGAGTAAAACTAGTTATGTCTTGTATGTTAGATGTTTTTAGTGTTTATTGTGGTAAATAAAAGTTTACGATTAGCATCAATAAGAAAAAAAAATGATGTAGTTTAGTAGGTTGTGTGCTGGGCTGTGGGTCTGAAAATAGGAGGTTCAAGATCACGATATGCCGTTGAATACGCTCTGCAATTTCCATTGTGGAAGCGTTATAAAAGTGACAGCCAATCGCGCTACTTGGTACAAGGTAACTGTGTAGGCGACAGGTGCTATTGACTATTTGTCCCTTACCCTTTCTGAACCTTAGGTTCTCTGACCTGGCCGTTTAGCCCATGTGTTGCATGAGGTGCTACTCAGATCGAAAATGTCAAAATAGAAATAGAAAACTGTATAAATCGTTTTTGTCCAAATTTTCTAGCACTTAGTTTTTCAACAGTTCATTGTCATTGCTATTCTTTTATAATTACACCTGCGGAGTTACAACGCTAGAATCCGGGTGTCGATACCCGTGGTGGGCAGAGCACAGCTAGCCCATTGTGTAGCTTTGTGCATAACTTCAAACATACAAACATTATTACGCAGCGGGTGAAATAGTAATAGGGAGTGGGATATTAGGGGTAGAATTTATGATATTAAACTGCAGTGGATTAATATAGAGGGCCTATGGTTGGGTGGGAGACCTTGTACTCGAATCGACTAGATAAGTGGCCTATGTGTGGATGATGTTCTGAATTTTTGTCGCAAATAAGATGCAAACGAACATCTCAGAAAAAAGGAAAATGAAATAATGTCAACGGCGGTAAGACAGACTAAGTTAAAAGTAGGAACTTATTTTGTAGTTGTTCTTAACTTGAAAGTAGACTTAGGCTTAACCTTCAGGAGTAGTCTAATTTTGTATCGCTGTCAGAAATTATGTGCAGTCGGTGGTACAGTAATTGTCGCCTGTACAGGCTTGCAAAACGCGAGTTAACTGTTAGTGTCACTGTTAGCGTTATTGTTAAGTTAAATTTAAACTCTTAACGTGTCATTAAACATTTCGAACGATGAACTAAAATTGAAATACAGTCTTGCTTTGTAATTGTAGCACGAAAATTGTTTTTGAACCATTGTTTCGTATATTTCGTGTTAAGAGTATGTGCTAATAGTAATACAATCTAATGAAATTATTAAACATATGCATTATATTTGTAAATTATCACGTTTATAATTTCAATTTCTAATTTTGAAATCAGTTATATTTTTGCTTTCAATATTCTTTTAATAACATGAATAATGAATTATAAATTAGTTTTAAAATATTACATTAAAACTTAAACTTTAAAATTGTTGATGGTTGATACTGTTAAGCTCAGATTTCAAAGTAATTGTAGTGTATATTTACACATGATCCACCAAATGGGGAAGTGTATACTTCACCTAGGAGTACTAATGTGTATTAAAATGTAGTATGTAGAAATTAAAAATTGTATATTAATTATCTGTAAATATGCATATTTTTGCAATTATACTAGATAGTTAAGTGTTTAACAAAAGTATAGGAAATAACAAAGCCCATGTAACCTAATGTAATAACTTTTTACTAAACAAATGAATTCATAATTATGATTGAAATATTTTAATGATATTTCAGTCAAATATGAATAGAATAGTTTTGCTATGCTTATATTTAACTTTTTTTTTATACAATTATTTTAGTGTTTGTTAAGTATACTCCTAGTTTTTTTATGCTAAACTTTTACCTTTGTTTTTCTGCTGTACATTATATTTGAGACCACTATACACTTTCCATATATTTAGTTTAATTTCACTCTGAATGACCTAAATGTATTTTGAAATAAACTAGTGTTTAGTAGTAAAATGTAATATGTACCTTTTACAGATAAAACCTGCAAAATATGATATTGTGACAAAAAATAAATTAGAAGTAAGAGGTATAACATATAAGGTATACACAGCATGATTAAGTAGACTTGTTGTACACGTTTCAGTTTCTTAGGAAGGAAGATTCTTGAAGGGACTAAACCATGATTTCATTGGAATTCACCATATATTAGTCACATTGAATTAGATTCTGAGGTAGTTATTTTTATTTTATTTTTAGTTATGGTTCTGTTTAATGTTTATGTATTTCTTTTCCTTCTATCATTTAGTTCAGCTATATTTTTATTTGTCTTAAAAACACTAGCTCACATGCATTCTAGTACATGTTAAATGTTGAACAAGTCATTTTTTATATAAAGAAACCAACACGATGGTTCTCCTAGTGGTGATGTTTGGATACTAAAATTGTGTGAATATGTAAAATAAATGCTAATTTGTAAGTCATATGATATGTAATCTTCTGGTTTGGCAAAGAAATAAGTCTCTGCTCTGACGATTAGCTAGATTGTGAGAGCAGTTAGATTGTGATACTTAAGATATATTTGTTTATTATTAAAAGAGATTTACTGTAGATACTTTCTTGATGAGTTATTGTGATTTGTGATTTTTTTTTTTATAATGTTTAATACTGTTTTTTCATATAGTATTATAAGTTAGGTTTTTCTTTTTCTGGGTTTTTGTTTGTGCTCCACTATTATTATAAGGTGGATTAAAGATAAGGCAGGCAGGTGTGGAGGTTTGACTGCGGTAACATAAAGTGGTGGTACTTCCTTGTGGTGTCCCTGTGTAGGTGGTAGCTGTGTTGAAGTCTGAGGTGGTATATAGGAGATAGTAGTATCCCTTGCTGGCGAGTCTTATCCAGCATGTTAACATCTGCACCTGCTTGGTAAAATCTGTAATGGCCTACTTTAAGCTTGACACATCAGCTTCATTGATCTCCATCATAACTTTATAATAATTTTACATTAACTTTGACATTTTAACTTCTAACTGTTGTTTAACTTATTGCTAAAATACTCGCTTGAGAAAATCAAGTCCAAACAAACAAATAACACAAATACCTCAACATATCAGAAAAGTCTGTTCAGTAATCAATGTAGTATCAAACATTCATGTTATTACCAGGGTAAGATAACAAATTAAAAAATTTTTAAAGCACAATACAAGTTTTACAAATTTTAGAAATTAATAACTTATTTCCTAGTTTCAAGATATCAGTTTCAACTATATCAACAAGCATAGTTCCAATACCTCTAATTTTGTAGACATTTTGCAGTGGCAGACAATGAGGTTTGTCAATGAATGAGATGGCAGTTCAGTACAGTCCAGAGCATTTAACAAAGTCTTGCCTTCAATCTTAAAGCCCTTAAACCATGAAATATTAGAACTGGGCTTTAGTATATTGTCACCAATCCACCCAGAGATTGGCACAAAGCTAGAATAGAAGGATTGTAACTTATTTCTTAAGTAATAACTTCCATTTGGATTTCTTCAAAATGTTTTTCATTATAGGAAATTTCAATCATGTCCACCATGTTCACTCCATCATCTTCTTCACACTCAGAATGTAGACCAGCAGAATATGTTCATGAGTCTGACTGTTTTTGGAAATTCCTGATTCAGTCTCACCAGCATTAGTGGTAGAGCTAGGGAATTATTTCATTTTGTCAGTGTAATTGATAACCTATGAGCATTGATTACTTTGATTTTTGTCAAGTAAAATAATTGATTAATCAAAATTATAACTAAAGCAATTAATGTCCTGTAAAATAATCAATTAATCAAAATTATTGTTTCCATTTATTAGTTTTCAATTATTACAACTATCCAAGTAAGCAAAATATTGCTATTCTGATTTTGTATTATCATCTTTGATTAATTCAAGGCTGTTCAACATAATTTGTATCGTGACTCATTAAAATAATCAACTAATGAAAATTGGTGTTTCCAATTATATTTATTTTCAATCATACCAACTATTCAAGTCTCATGTGAAAATAATTAATCAGATAAATGTAAACAATTAATGAGCCTGACAATTGATTATCAATTCCACTAATTGCCCATATCTAACCGGTAGATACAGTCAGTATGGTTCAGTCAGCTTGAATGCACTAGTAACCATATTTTTGATGAAATCACAATGTTCTTATATTAATAAACATTTTAAAGAAATCAGAAAATAAGTTAGTGTCTACATTAAGAAAAAGAAAGTAGGTTGTAATCCTGCCATATTACCTTTTGTCAGTCTGTGGGTGGAATGGTGACTTATTCTGGATCCCAAGTAGCTTAAGGGTTTTAAAATTGAATGCAAGTATCAATCATTTGAAGGCAAGACTTTCTTATATGTTCTGGATATATTGAGCCATCATCTGATCTACGGACAGATCTGTTTTTCTGCTTCTGCAAAATGTCTACAAAATTGGAGTTATTGGCACTATACCTATTGGTAGAGTTGAAAATTAGTGCCTAGTTTCAAGGTATCAGTTATTAATTTCTGAAATTTGTAAAACTTGTGCTTAATAATTTTGTGATTTATTATCTACCCGGATAGTAATGTAGTTGTTTGATATATTATTAGATTATGTTTTGACTGATCTTAAAATTGTAAACCTAGACCCTAAGAAATGGGTTCAGGTGATTCAAAATGTAAAATTTGAAAAAGTTTCTGTAGTCTATTTCATTGTACAAGATTTAAGAATAAGATAGTTGTTAACTTTGAAACCAAATATTTTGGATGAATTTATGGTAAAGTTGATATAAACCTCCTAATTTCTGATATCTGTGAAGAAGAAGTGGTTTTTATTAATGGAAAAATATTGAAAATTTTTAGTCATTGTTTCAGCCTACCATTGAAAAAAAAATCTTTGAAATAAAATCTTTAAAGAGCAGCAGATTAATATTTTATTTTTTTTATATGATAGCATGGAATAGAAACAAACAAGAAAATATGAAACTTTAATTTTTTGATTAACCTAATAAATTTTGTACTTTAACGAGTAATTTTTGTGGTAACTTTTACTAAACAAGTTCATAAATTACAGGCAGTTGAACAAAAATAATTCTTTAACAATGATACAGTATTATTTAATCTGACATTTTTCTCTCCAACAAATTAGGACTCAAAGCATCGCCCATATAAAATATGGAGCTGTGATAGACAGAAAAGAAAAGCTGTTGTTGCATCATCATTAGCTGAACTTAGAGATAAAGGTATGTTGAAAATTACGTATAGGATTTTTGAAGGCATTGTATTGTAACAAATTGAGCAACTGGTGTAAAACATGATACAGGTTTTATCCCAAGTAGTGGCTTCAAGGAGAACAGAATACTTTATGAAACAATAAGATATACGTATAAAAAATAAGTATTGGTTTCTTAGATGTATAGGATAAATGAATATCCATTACTTTTGTTCTTACATTGACATGTGTATCAAAAGCTTTTGTATCTCCTGCATGTAAATATATCTTGTAACTGCATGGATGATGGTCATTCCGAAACACACTTACCTCTTCTCATACTTTAGCTTTATCCAATGAAAGTTTCCCTTCTCTGCCCATCTAAGCATTGGTATGAATCTTACCTCACTTACTTCAGCCTTTATACCCTATTGTATTGTCCAAAGCAAGTTAAATCTTGTGATTCTCTCCATCTACATCAGTGCTCCTCCTAACCCAGATCTGTATGTAAGCTCCCCATTATTACTTCCTATTCACTTTTCTCGATGGCAGAATGTTATGACAAATGGTTTTACGTGCTTGCTGTAGGTTTCTCTTCAGTGTTGATTGGCTTTAATAATAACTATGCTTTAGATGATTTGCTTTTTGTTTTTTTTTAAACCTGTCTTCTTGGGTCTGGAGTTTGTTGTCTATTTTAGTTATTTTACAAAATAACAAAAATTTGATTTTTAAGTAATAGTTTTTTCAAAGTGATTTCAGTATTATTTTGTGTTTATTTCTCTTCTTTTTATGGGATACTTTCATCATTTTCATTTGGATCCCATTCAGTGGTGGGTGTTGCCTGGTCAGGTATGCCTCTTTCCAAATCTGCACTATCTACCAGTTGACCAATAAAAATTTTCCTGGTAGAAACAAGCTCTGTTGAGATGAGGTGTTCCATAAGACCATCTTATGTGCTTTCCAGGTGGTATACAATTGTAACACAAAGACAAATACACTAGTGGACTACCGCTCATGTACTATCATGTATAAAGCTTAAGGGGATTTTTTTCCATCCCTGCTGACCCCTAGATTGAATAAATTGGGGTTGGTTTTCTTTTCAAAATAGAAACGTGATTCACCTATTGCATTGTCTCTGTATCATCATTTCCTCAGGACTCCCCAACGCGAGTATTTCCCATTTCTCCTACTGGAGCATGGGAATCCTTACCACTCCCAGTTTCAGTCACTGGAGTGGTGGACAGAGGTTTATTCCTCTTGAGTGATGCTTGAGCTCATTATTCCACTCAAGGAGAAGAGGGTGATGCTGGGTGCCCTTCTACCAATAACCCTGGATGATTTTCCCAGATGTATGGTAGGAGCAGGACCAGTTTATAGAGGAGCCTCCTCATAATTCTGGTTCAGAGATGACTCCTTACTATCTGGTTGAGTTGAGCATGGTCCTTCTTTTTGGTCATTCTCTTCATTTCGATGATCATGGAAAAGGGCCCTCAATTCTTCATAATTTCACACATGGAGTGTCAATACCTGTGCCATTGGTTGGAATTAGTTTGTTCCACATCTTCCTCATAATTCTGGAGGCAGGAGGTGTTACCCTGCCTCTCAAATTGGGGAGTTGGGATTTCTGTTTGTAATCTCAGGCTGGGTAATCTCTGTTTTTTCAGATTGAGTGAGGTGTGACAGGTCACATAATTCTGAGTTGGGTTTGTTGCATTTTCCGCTTCTTCAGGTTGGGGTGAGGGTTTGTCCACTTTTGTGTTGCTTGCCTTCTTTTCTTAATTTTGGTGGCTCGATATGCAACATTCTGTAACTTTCAGGTTGGGATCCAATAACACCACTTTACTAAACAAGACTAAACACAAAGTGGTCCTCATGCCCTAGCCATTACGCCTTGGATCTAGATTTGAGTCCACAGCCCTATAATTGTAATGACGAGATGTGGAACCTTATCTGCCTGTTTGGAGCTTAGACAAATGCTTATTCTTCTAACGATGTTAGGATTTTGCCTCTCTGACCAGGCAGCATATACCACCTAGGAATTAGATTTCATGTCCGAGCGAAGAGCATACCTGTTCCAGAATTAGTGCAGCCCCCACTAGTTTGCTATTACTATATCTCATGTTCACACATCTTTCTCTATGCAGATGCTTTCTATGTAGATTTTGCCATCATCAACCCCTCCACCTTGTCAACGTTAGTGTGTTTTGGAAGTTAACATTTTCCTATACCGAAAATGTTTCCAATAATATTTGTCTCCTTTCACACCATCCACCCATCCTCCCCACAAAATGGCTGGTTTTGGGTCTGCTAATTGGGCCGTCTTGAAAAGTGAATAGAGGGTAATAATGCGAAGCTTATATACAGATCTAGGATAGGGGTCACATTAATGTCAGTGGAGGGAATCACAAGATTTAACTTGCTTTGGGCAATATAGTGGGTTATAAAGGCTGTAATAAGTGATATAAGATTCATACTAATGCTTAGATGGGTAGATAAGAGAAGCTTTCGTTGAGATAAAGCTAAAGTGTTAGCGGAGGCAAGTATTATTGGAAATGCATTTTCAGTATTGGAAAATGTTAACTTTGATTCAATTTTCATAAATAAACAGATTGGTTTGAGTGCTTTTTTTGGATCATATATTGTAAATGTATCTTTGTACATGCTTGTTTTTCATGTTACAATGACAATGTAAATCAATGTTGTAAAGGTAAAGAATATCTTGTTACTTGGTTGATTTTTCTTATGTGTATGGTAAATAAAAATTTAATTAACTTTGAAGACCTGAATTTGTTTTGGAATAATTTCTCCATTCGTACATGTGTTGTAAAGTATATGTTTGAGTTAATGGAGATAAAACATTTGGGTAAGAATTATCAGTTCTCATATATTAATAACACAAACATAAGTAAAAAACATTAGTGATGTGAAAAAAAAGAGACTTGTGATTGTTAATAAAAACTCTTAAAACTTTTTGCTGAGTGTGTAGATGTGGTGAAAAGAATAAATAAGATTTCTTAGTTTCATTTATAGGAATTTTGAATTTACTAACAAGAATGTTAATATAGCATTATACAATTTTTTTGTGAGGCCTCATTCGAAGTAGTATAATGTGTGCAGACTTAGTTCTCTTACCAAAGAAAGGAAAGGATATCAACATGTAAAGTGTGTGAAGAGATTAACTACTAGAATGATGCCTAGTTTAAGCGATTTAATTGATGAGGATATGTGTGGAAGTTTAAACAACATATTTTCTTTGGAGTGTAAAACAAAAATTTGAAGTCTTTATTTTATGTGTTCACAATTGTCTTCTTATGGGTTGCCTTTGTTTTATTGGTGAAATATGGGAAATTTGCAAATATAAGCCAAACTATTAGGTTTAATAGGTTTAAGATTTGAGAGTATAGTTTTTTTTGGGTAGACATTTGGTTGTGCAGGGCCATATTTAAGTTGTATTAACAATGTTCAATTTTAATTTAGAGGTGATTTAGATGGGTTGAATCAATTACCTTGCCTTTTCTTATGTTTTGGCCCATTGAGGTTACCCAATATTCTCAAACAATGAATTTCACTATTTGAGAGTTTAAAGTAACCTTAAATATAGGCATGCACATTCATTTACTTATCAAAGCAAAAAATCTATTCCAAATATTATACCTATTACTCCTAATATTTGAGTTTATAATTCCAATCTTTTTTGTATTCCAACACCCAAACAGTTAACCCACAAGAAAACTCAAACATAAATCTGATAATAGGAAAATTTTATATTCATAAATCTATCATCAAAATCTTGAAACAATTCAAACTACATGTATCAGCAGGCACCACATCAATATATAATTATTTCACATCTTCACTTTTTTAATGAATTAGGTTTGCCTAAGAATAAGGTTAGATCAGTGTCACAGAAGCTCAAAGTAGCCACTATTTGTAAAAGACCCATGAAAAAAAAAAAAATTCTGAAAATGCATTATGCAGCCTTTTCAAACTAGAAAATTAACAGAGTTTTATGATTTAAAAATTAACCTTTATGATTTTTTAGGGTAAAGTAAAAAGAAATTACCTAAAAAGTGGAATTTTTAGGATGTGCATCAGAACAACTACAAAAGATTGATCAAGGTTACAGAAGGCCATCCAGTCCATCATTATCACCTTTCCACTTGAAAATACAACAAAATTGCACGTGAATCCAATTATGTTGGTAATGGCAAATATTCAGTTATAAACCAGGTACAAAGATCTATTTTAAGGATTTAAGGGTAAAAATTGATGAGTAGCTCATTCATTCATGTGTTAGGTATAGACAAGAGGTTTTTTATAACATAAAATTTAAGGATAATAATGGACATGTTGGTCAATCTAGGCTGTCCTGTTCACTAAACTAAACTTAATAATAAAAAGAAAAAAATAAACTCAGAGTCAATACTTATCCAGCCTTCCCTTAAACTCCCTCAAATTTACTGCATCTACAACATCTGAAGGCAGCCCATTCCAAATGCCAACCATCCTGGTAGAGAAATCTATCTTAGCTGAAGATGAATCCTGCCGTGCCAAAATTTATATTTGTATTCATTAACTTTACCATTGACAACATTAACACTGTCCATGGGCATCTTCTTCTGCACATTTCACAAGGTTTTAGTGAGTTACATTAAAGATTTAATTAAACCATTTTCTTCTCATGGTATAACAATAAATATAGCTAATAATCCATAATGGTATATAAGTTTTAAGTTCTTACTTTTATAAGGCAATATTAAAAATAAAATCTAGAATTCCCCTTGTGTGAGAATTGTGACATTAGCTCTCTTGGCATCCCCTCTTCTCTAAATTATTTACCACCCCCTCCAAGAAGTACAAAATTCAATGTAAATTACTTGTGACAGTATCATCATCATTCAGGCAAAGCATAATTTTTATAATCTTCAATCTTATTTGGTTACAGAGGCATGTAATAGACAATCAGACCCCTTTTGACATGCCCACCTATCACATCCTCTCTTTCAAAAATTGCCAATTGTTTCCTCTCATGTTCCATCTGATGTCCTTAAAGAAAGGAACCCCAGAGTGAACACAATACTCCAAATGTGGTCTAACCAGTTACCGATATGATAAAATTATAACTTCTTTGTATTTAGATTTGTATTTAGCACATCAGTAGATATGACCTAATATCCCATTTGCCATATCACACTGCTTGGATATCTTAAGAGATTGATCAGTCAGAACACCAAGATTCATTTCTTCCATAATGCTGTTAAAGTTATTACCATCAAAATTATACATATAATTCATACTATGATAACCCACATGCATTACCTTGTATGTATTATGGTTAAAAGTTATCAACCAATTATACGCCTAACTCCTCAAATAATCTAAATCCTTCTTGTAATGCAACAGTATGCTCCTTATAACAAACAACACCCAAGACCTTAATACCTTCAGCAAATATGAGTAATTTATTGACTGTTCCTTCATCTGTGTCATTGCTGTGAATCAAATGGTGCAAATATACTAATACCAAGCTCTGAGGTGCACCATCTGTGTCATTAATCCAGTTTGACTGAACTCCTTTTATAATAATCCTCAGCTTTCTCTCATCCAGCCACTTTTCTGTACAATAAGTCAACCTATACCCATACTTAGAGGGATAATTATTTTAACAAACCTTGTATGTGGTACCTTACCAGATGTTTTCTGGAAATCTAGATACACTACATCACACCTGTACCCATATCTACATAAGTATTAACCTCTTCAAAGAATGTCAGGTAAGACTTTTCCTTAGTGAAACCAGGATGCAAAGACTAAATAAGAGATTATTGTGTCTGGATCAACAGTTATGCCAGTTAGATTTGTAGAACAGATTTAAAAACAAAGTAGAGATTTTGTTAAGGGCTCTATTTAAGCAGGTTTGAAAATTGCATGGGGAAATACTAAAAGCTTGTTGAGTAATGTTTGAATTAAGAATAAGTTGAAAATAAGTAAAATTTATTTTGCACTATTACTGGAAGGATGCAATAAATTTTGGAATAAGAGGATTTGATTGTGGTGAGCATCTTAGATGTCATTGGAATTATGGAGTTTTTGAGACTTTGCTTTTGATATTGATAAGGCATACTTACTAACTAGAAAATTTACTGATAACATTAAACTCTTGAGTATTTCTAACTGTATTGAGGATTTTGAGGTATTACAGAATGATTTGGATCAATTAGTAAGTTGGATAAGTATTTGGTAAATGAACTTTAATTTTAGTAAATGCAAGATAATATTTGTTTTACCAAAAATTGGAACATGTTTATGATATAGATGAGAACCCACTCAATAGTGTAACTGAAGAAAATAATCTTGGCTTAATGCTAGGTACATCACTCAAGCCATCAAAGCAGTGCTCTGTTGTGAGTTGTAAAGTTAAAGAATTTTAGGGTGTACTTATAGACACATTGATTACGAGATAACAGAGATAATTATCTCCCTACAGAAATCACTAATTAGGCCTCACTTGGAATACTGTGTACAGTTTTACTGCTTTAATCCCCTCATTTAAAAAAGGACATCATTGAAAATGGTTCAGAAGAGAGTTACTAGGATGATTCTAGGGATAGAAAAATGATCTTATAAAGATAGGTTAATATCTCATATTCTCTTGAGAAAAGAAGCATAAGAGGTAATCTTATTAAATTTTACAAGATTATCTGGGGTATTGAAAGTATAAAGTTTTATTTGAGCCATTTCTTGGTAATTTTCCTTTGTTTAAGGTTGCATTTATAGCCTCCACTCACCTATAAGCCTAAAAGCTCACATATCAGATCTACCATTAGCAGTGTTACTTGTGCAATGGACTGAATCCATATTGAAGAATTGACAGTCACTATAATTCTGAACTTACTATGTATATGTTTACAAAAGTTTGCAATTTTTCAGTAAACTTGAAAGTATGTTGTATACAAAAAATCTGATATTTTTTTTATAAAGTATTTGTATGAAACATGAATTTCATGGGAGGGATAACTTGTATTTATTTTCACTTTAAAGTTTTTATATTTAATTTGCATAATCTCTAGAACCTAAATCAACAACAAAAGTTTTTCTTTATGTAACATTATTTTTTTTATCTGTAAAAGAATAACACATGTTCATTAGACAAATTTATAATCATATTGTAAAACTCGCCTAAAAAGTATAAATCTGAAACTAGTGTACCAGTATTTCGTCAGATACAATGACATTTAGATTACCGTGTATTACAACATGTAATGAAATCACCTAATAATAATAAGTCAGTTTAAGTGACATTCTTGAAATTAATTCTGAATAAATGCAAATACATGTGTATGTTTTATGCACACTCAATTATACAGTTGAATTGGTTGCCTAATACTAGTTATGCAGTGGTATTGCATTAGTCAGACCTGCATCAATAGTTACCCCTAACTACAAAAAGTGTTTGGACCTATATCCTTTGACATTGGGTGATCTGTAATCAACCAATCATCAGTCAGCTTTGCAGTGTAGGTGTATTTATTTTGTGGATCACATTACAGAAGCATTTTTGCATAAAGAAACTATTGTTTGTTTTTATTACTAAAATTAAAGTGAAACATAGTAAAAATAACACAATTTAATTTTTATTTCCATATTTAGCCATTCTATAAGAGAAGTAAAATGTGACAGCTTGTTTTACCAAACATATCACTAGACAGATACTAGGATTTTACAACTGAGTGCCATATTTTGAAGTTTGAACTTCAATATACTTGCACTCTTTACTTCAAAACAGACATCGACCAGAAGTTTTTCACATCAATATTGGAAAATCCTAAACCTACTTCAGTCGTTAATTCCATACTGGATGAAATAATTGAACATGTTACAATGGAAAAAAAAACATGCAGGTAAGTGCCTAGTTTAAGATGACTGCATGATGAATAGGCTCTCAAAAAAGTCTTCTTTCTCTCCCTTATTGTGAAATATAAAACAGACCAGTGAATCCTTGCTTTATTGCACTTTGCAAAGATGAATAAAGCATTGGGCCAATCCATTAGATACTATACATATATATATGTGTGTGTTTGTGTGAGGGAGAGAAAAATATGAATTAACAGGGGTTGGATGTGAGTAACAGTTAGAAAATTACAATGCAAGTCAGTTAGAAAAGGAACACTACATTATGTCTGCAACAATGTAATATTAATTACATAATAGTGTAAGTCGTAACCAGTGGTCTAATCTATGAAAATTTAGAGTAGCAATAATTTGCCAGCATTATATAAAATTATCATTACAAATTCAATTTTTAAATGTAAAGAAGTAAGCTAATTGTCACAACACACTTATGCAATTTGGTAACTTTTTTTTTCAGGTGGTGGTACAGTCCTTGACAGTACAATTAAAGGTTGGATAAAACAATGCCCATGGCCAGAGATTGTTACAAAAGCAGATGGACTCAAATCCATATTTTGTCACCACTGTGAAGTTGTTGGAAAGAAGAATGTGATGGGTACTACTGATTCTCTTAATATTCAGGTTTCTACATTTAAAAACCACAATGGCAGCAGTTACCACTTAGATGCAGTAAGAATGAGTGTAAAGAGAAAAACTAAAAGTGTGGAGTACATCAATAGTGATGATGAGAATTTGAGAGTGTACATCTGAGTATAAAGTGAGTGAGCAAGTCTGATAAGTTAGTATTTCGAACAATTTATTTCTGTGCTAAGTTGGATTATCCAAATGAAGCCATAAATAAACTACTAGCTTTTTACTCCCTGAATGGTTTGAAAATGGAAATGAAAAATTGAAGTTGAGCATCAATAACGGAGTGCAGAAGGTCGTAACAAACTATTTATGTAATGACATAGTGAAAAATCTCCAAAGATGTGACTTTTATGGTGTCATGATAAATGAGTCGTGTGATCTAGGACTTGGAAATAGCTAGTCATTTGTGTAAAATATGTACATGAAGACAATGTTGAGACATCCTACACAGAGAGTGTAAAGCTTGATGATGGCAAAGTCTATACAATTACCCAACATTTGAAGGTTACCTTTGATAAATTAGGAGTAGACATGTACAGGTGGAATTGGTACTATGGTAAGTTACAGAGCTGGTGTAGTTGTGCAAATAAAGTCAAAGTTTTCCCCATTTGTTACACAGACACACTGCTTGGCCCCCAGACATACACTAGGGGTGTATCAATGTCATCAAAAACATTAATCCACTTGAAAACTTCAAATAAAGATTCAACAGTTTTATTGTTTTTTCAGCAGCTCTGCAGTAGAATGTGCAAAATTGCATAACACTCAGAGCATTTCTAAACAAAGAATTGCAAATCGAAGAACCACACCTTGTGAGATGGTTAAGCATAAGAAGCAAGTGCAGTTGATGCTATGTATCATTGTTATCCTTGTGTTGTAACAACATTTTCTGAACTAGGTACAACAGACACAACAGCTAAATCACTACACATACTTTAACAGCCATAAAACAGCTTTAATTACAAGCCACGTTATATGTCCATAATGAAATTCAAGTGTTGTGGATTTCAGCAGGAAACCACTAGTTGAGTCTACTTTAGCTGGAATGGATGAGCTAAAGAAAGTTGGTGAAAATTACAGAGATGGTGAGCACTTTGGAATATAATGATGGATGTATGAAAGGTGTAAAATTTTCAGTTTCAGAAGGAACCACTTCAGAAATAAAGCAGCTGATGTGTAAATTGGCAGATACTGACAGAGGCAAAATTTGATTATTACCATATTTGTCCTCGGGAAAATTATATGGATCTCTGTATTAATAAAGATCACCTTTGAAAATAGCTATAGGCCAAGATTTTTTTAAGCCAAATTATAAACTAGGAGATGCTGCAGAGAACAACAGAACTTAATAAGAAATAATGATAGGCTTACAAAACAATATGGAAACATCATCCATGATCTGGGACCTAAAGTTGTGCTTTCCATTTTTCATGAAGACCTTGCAGATTTTTAAGGAACCAATAAACTCACCAAAATTTCAAATGATACTATGAAAAATACCTGTTCTTTACAAAAGTAGTTTAGTACAAAATAAATGGTATTGCTTCAAAGGCATATTGAAAGGGAAACATAAAAATTCAAAAACTGAACATTTGTGTAAAAGGGTTATTTAAACTGCATGGCGACCAACTTCCTAACGTCAAAATTATTTCAGATAGCTTTCTGCTTTTGTGTAACAAGTGTTAATTGTGAAAGAGCCTTTTCTATAGAAAACAGGCTCAAGACAAAATCAGCTCTATGAAGACTGAAAAGATACTGTTTAATGAGAATTGTAATGTTAGGCCTAAAAATTTCATCGTATGATCTCAGTCTTGCTACTAAAATGTGGGACAGTGCTAAGAACAGAAGGGCAATGCTTTCACAATCAGAAAATTAAAAATAAATAAATGTGTAAATTGTGTGTGTTTTTGTAATACTTTTTTGAGGCCAAGTACACAATATGATAATATTGACAAGTTTAAACTTCTGACAAGGTACCTTAATTGTGCTCTCATACCATAGCTATTTTTGTTCAATTCTACCCTCTATTTGCAAAATGTTTTTCGCATGCCAAAAGACTTTATTCCTATGTACCCTCTCAGTTCACATGGTTGAACTGATTCATGCATGCAAATTATCATCTGACAAACCTCCAGCAATAGACATGCTCCACACACATGACTCATGTGACTCCCTCTATGTTATTCTATCTAACCATCACTTCTTGTTTGGTAGTGCTTGTGTTAAGACGTTTTCTTTAGTGCTCTTTTAAATCAAATTTGAATTTTCATAGTGCTTATTTCTAGTTTACAACCTGTACTTTCCATTTTAATATTTCGTAGTAGTATTATTTCACTTTTGAAACCCAGTTACGGAAATTAATTAATTTTCCATGTTTGTCTTTCTTTACCAACACATTTGTGTTTGGTTCGCATTATGAATTCTGAAATAAATGTTACCACGTTAGAGGTTGTACCTTCTACTGACACATTTACTCAGGCTTCAGGTGGGGGTAAATTGACTTTGGAATTATTGGTAATTATTTGTCAAGAGATTGATCGTTATTTGAACCAACCTTCTTCTCCTGATGTTGCTCAACTTCCTCCTGAACAAGACAAACCTGTATGGGATGATGATGGTTTTGACAGCCTTTTTCTTCCACCTGAGTTTGCCGTGTGTTCCCCAGTTGCTCCTGTGGGTTCCGTTAGGACTAATATGGCTTTTTTTTTTGGACATGATTTCACAGGTATGTTCTGTTTCATCCCTTTCCCTGATTTCATATAATCCTGTACTTTCCTTGTTACATGATACTCCTTCCTTTCAGTATTTTGTATTTCCACCCTCTCCTTATGTTGGGGTTCCTGCTGAGAATTTTGTATTTCAGTTACATGATGGCGTGAGCATGCCTTGCCCTCTCCAGGGTTTTATTCCAGGCTGTTTGTGGTGCCCAAGAAAACTGGAGATTGGCAGCCTGTGATAGATCTGTCACACCTCACTTTTCGGTGCTGCCAAGGAGTCATTTCTCACTTTAAGGTGGGCTTTTTCTCTTGCTTTATGGATGACCAAAGTTGACATCTCGAATGGTTATCTCCATATTCTCATATCAAGACACAACTATAAGTTTGCTCACCATGGGGTAGTTTATCAATTTTGTTCTCTTCCATTTGGCATACATCTTCTGTTGGGTGGTCAAGGCTTTTGTGGGTCTTATGCACACTCGAGGGTTGTGCTTCCACCATTACATGGATGACTGACTTCTCTTGGATCATTCCGTACTGGAGTCCACCCAACAAACTCCTCTGCTTCTTTTGTTATCTCCATATTCCCATATCAAGACACAACCATAAGTTTGCTCACCATGAGGTAGTTTATCAGTTTTGTTCTCTTCCATTTGGCATACATCTTCTGTTGGGTGGTCAAGGCTTTTGTGGGTCTTATGCACACTCGAGGGTTGTGCTTCCACCATTACATGGACGACTGACTTCTCTTGGCTCATTCCGTACTGGAGTCCCCCTAACAAACTCCTCTGCTTCTTTTGGTGGATTGATAAAGTTGGAGAAATCCTTCCTTACTCCTACCCAATATCTTATCCATTTGGGTGTTTTGTTCAACACTCATCTCAGTCAGGCCCAACCTTCTCCTCTTCAACTCCATTCATTGGAGTTGGCTGTTATCAACATGCTTACTGCTCGTGAATATCTATCTCTATTGGAGATGCAGTCTCCTATGGTGGCACTTATCCCCATGGGATGTATTTATGTGAGAAACTTTCAGTGGACTCTTCACGATCATTGAAACCTTGCACAGGATCACTTGGATGCTCCTGTTACCCCTTGTCCTACCCTTGTAAATGATCTGCATTGGTGGTTGGACAAGGCTCAAACTTTGGCAGGGTTTCTGCTTCCTCTCCTTGTCTGGATTTGCATCTTTTTTCAGAGGCGCGAGTTGAGCACCAAGTTGCTTCTGGTCTATGGTCTATTTTGCAAATAGAGGACAGCACTGAATGAGAATAGCTATGTATAGGAGCAGAAGTAAGTACTTGTTGGAAATATATTTTCAGTGTATGAAAATTATAACTTTTATAATATAAATGATTCAATCATTACATAAACCAGCATATATATGTTTGTCCATAATACTGAATTACTGACCACCTTTTTTCAGATACTGACAGAGGCAAAATTTGATTAGTATCATACTTATTCTGACAAAAATTATCTGGAGCACTGTATTAATTAAGATCATCTTTGAAAGTAGCTACAGGCAAAGCTTATAAGCCAGATTATAAATTACAGAACAGAGAATTTAATAAGAAACTTGGATGTCTTAAAAACAAATCCAAGTTCTGGTAATGTTTTTATAGATTGCTTACATATTTATTTCATTCCTGAAAATGTTTTTGTGTTCATTTATATCTGTTGGAAAGCTATGAAGATTTTCTTCTAGGACAAGACTTGGGTAAGCTTAACCTGGTTTAGCAAGTATAGTAGATGATGTCGGAATATTCTGATTACCCAAATCCTTATTTATTGAATATTATTGTTAAGTTTGCCATTTTCAAACAACACACATAGATAAGAAAACTTATTATAATTAATTGAAAATAAACTATTTATTAGACATAAATTGATGTCGACCAAGGAAATGGTTAGCAAAAATATTGTTATCTACCCTGACCTGATGATATTTTGAAATATCTTGTCAGAGGTCATTGATAAGTGTATGTAAGTTTTTGTGGTGGTTTTTTTTTTGTGATTTGTAGCTGGAAGAATGACTATTGCAATCAGCAGAATAATGTATCAAAAGAAATGTATTATAGAATATCGATCAAGTTGAAACTGATTGGATACATATAAAATAGAAAAAAATTTATGTTTTTTATAACGTGAAACTAGATATTATTTAGTAAGTTCTAATTTTCATGCAGTTTGGCTTATATTTCTACAGTGAGAAGGGAAAAAATCAAAGAAAGTCAATTATATAAAG